ACCCAACACACAGCTTCTTCAGTCTGCTGCCATCAGGGAGGAGACTGCGGAGTCTCCAGGCCAGGACCAGCAGACTGAAGGACAGCTTCATCCATCAGGCTGTCAGGAAGCTGAACTCCCTCCCGACCTTGCCCCCCCTCCCCTTTTGCCCCACGCACCACTGAACTCTGACGGACTCTCCCACTCCCCCCTCCCAAATACACACACACAGTCACTTTAATCAGTCTAAATAAGCTCTTTTTGCACTACAAATCATTATATCTGCACTGTTGTTTACTTCACTGGTTTGCACTCTATCTGCCATGTGCCGTGTGCTGCTTTATATATATTTTTTTATATATTTTTTTTTTACATTTTACCTTATTTGTATATTTGTATAGTTGTATTTTATACTTAATCTGTATATCTGTATTTATGTTCTACTGTTAGTGTTATCTGTATGCACCAAGGGTCTGAGAGTAACGCAATTTCAATTCTCTGTGTGTATGTGCTGTACATGTGGAAGAATTGACAATAAAGCAGACTTGAACTTGAACTTGAAACCACCGCCGCTGAAGCGCCGTACCACCAGCACGAGAGCCCACGAAGAGCGTGCTTGACTGTAGTTTTTTACCACTACGTAGAAGGTCAGGAGCAGAACGATAGAACCGCTCGGCTCCGAAGCGAAAAGCTGAATATGCGCTGCATCTGCTGCCTACTTATACTCACGCTGTGATCAGCGGCAGCTGGATGCAATAATCGCATGCCAATGTGCATTGGTTCGTTTAGTTTACACTCGAAGTAGATTGGTCTCTCTAAGCGAGATCCCAATTCGTCGGTCATCCGACATGACGTCGAGAGTGACCGACTGAAAGGGAACTGCAATGCTAAACATTCAGGAGGCTGCTACCCTTCATTGACCAGCAACTAATGGAAATCAAGGTGTGCTCACAGTTTTAGCCTGTAAATATCATAAAAACGGCTGATTCTTGCAGGAGTATTCCGTTGTGCACATTATGTGATATTAAAGGAAGTACAGCATACACCATCAGCATGATTTGGATTGCCAAAGAGGATATTTACAAATGTGTTCACCTACTCAAACTACCCATCTTTTTAAAATCTACTAGTTGGTAAGTTGCCTGAATGACTAGTAAGCGTTAAGGAAGCACTGTATAATTATAATTAAATATTATATTCATTATTATCATCGTATTAGTATCATTGGGCTACTTTTGTATTTTTTAATTAATATTTTGTAATTGTTTTTATTTTTTATATTTTCTGTTTTCATTTTAATTTTAATTTTAGTTAAAATTGTGGCCATTTTGTTGTGTTTTTGTAATTTATTAATTTTAGTCTTCTTTTTTTTAAATGTCTGTCGTTTTTATCTTAATTTCAGTTTTAATTTTAAGATGTTTTAGTACATCAAGTTAATCTACATGAAAATGAGAAATGTTGCTTTGACAACTAGCTGAAATTAAATAAGCTTTAGTGTTTGCATATTTTATTTCAGTTAAAGTTTATTTTATTTTTTCATTTCATTTCATTTTTTTTTTACTTTTTATGTTGGAATTTAGTTTTTTTTTTTGTAATTTTCCATTTTGTTCCATTTTGAAAGACTAATAGCAGAATTAACCATTATTATTTAATGGTAAGCTAACTCAAGGATTAACTGACTAATCAGACAAAAACCATACTAAACTGGTAAAAAAAAAAAAACGGGCTAAAAAAAAACTTTGCACATAATTATCATAGTCCTCACAAAATCATAGATTATCCATGGTAACAAAAATTTAGCACATTTTGCCCCCCAAAAAATTATATATTTCACAGCATCTTAATACTAATGGCACAAGGCATTCAAAAACATGAGATGCTATGCAATAGCCAAAGCTGCAGATGAAATAAAAGAATGAATCCTGTATGGAAAACAGAATATGGAATAAATTCCATGTCTTTGAAAGCATAAAAAGCATGATGCAGCTGAAGCTTAACTGAATATTTCATACGAGTGTTTAATCTTAAGAATTCATAGGCAATAAAAAAAACAAACAAAGACATTTGCAATCAGCGTTAAGTGTGCTCACTGCATCCTCGAGAGCTCAGCTGTAATTCAGCTGATAGCAGAGCACTAATTGGGACAGTGAAACATGGTTTGGAAAAATCAGAGGAAGTGAGAATCAAACCAATGTACCTTTGGCTCCTGGTTTTCCAGGAAGACCGTAGTATCCTTGAGGCCCCTTGGGGCCCATGATTCCTCTGGGTCCGGCTTCTCCAGCAGGACCTGCTGGTCCCGGTAGTCCAGGTGGTCCTATGAGTCCTGGAGTTCCAGGGGCTCCAATGGCAAGAGGCTTCTTGGCTACTTCCTTCTTGTAGGCATCTAAATGCTCTGTTTGGTACAATACCATGTTATACGTTAGTTGCCAGTTATAAAGCAAAATAAAGTTGATGTTGGTGTTTTAAAGTGATTAATAAAGATGCCATGCCTTCAACAACAGCTGAACAAATCTCACGGATCCTCTCGTCATTCATCTTAGGCCCCTATTAAAAGTCATTTGAGGACAACATCAGCAACAACTGCAGAGCAAGTATTTCTAAAGAAGCAACGTACTGTCCACTCAAAACTGAACAAAGCAATGTACTCACAGGTATACCTCTGGGACCAGGGGGTCCTGATAGTCCTCGTTCCCCCTCCAGACCTCTGGCTCCCTGTGGTCCGGTCAGACCCTCGTGGCCTGGCTGACCTGGACGACCATCAGCTCCTGTAGCTCCTCTCTGGCCTTTCTCTCCACGCTAGGATGACAGAAGGAGTAAGGAGAAAAAACAACAATAACTAGATTTGCATTTCTTAAAGGAAAAGTGTTCAAGTTTAGATAAAAAAAGGTGAAGTTTAAAGATGAATTAAAAATTCAAAATGTCTAAATATATATTTACATATATATAGATACATATTCAGAAAAATGAAATCATTTATCTATCTATCTATCTATCTATCTCTCTCTCTCTCTCTATATATATATATATATATATATTATTTTTAATAATATAGTCATTTAAAAAAATTGTAAAGTATTTTATGAGAAGTCATTTGAAAAAAAAACGTTATTATTTATTGGTAAATTAACATGAAAAGAATTAAAAGATTATTGATAGATTATCTAATTGATAGATTAGACATACATAAATATTTGGAAAAAAAAAAAGAAAATTACTTTATGAAAGAAATATTTTATTTATAATACATTATTGATTTATTTTCTATATCAATAGATTTGAAAATAACTTTTTTAGTCTTCTACAATCTAAAACTCCAATAATATGAGTTTTTATGAAGGATGGCATGCTTACCTCACTCTTGATTCCAGGAATACCCGGAGGCCCCTGTAAACCATTATTAAAAACCATCAGATTACTGTACACATACTGATATATCATAATTGGAGGGTGCAATGGTATGCAGCTATAAATATGACGAACCTGATCACCCTTCACGCCTGGTTCTCCTACAACACCTGGATCTCCCTGTAGAGCGATGAGAGGAAAAATACAATTACATGGTATTCATACAAGTGCAGGGAGCAACAGCCATGTAAACGGTCACTGAGTACTTTCTAATTTACCTCACTTCCTTTGGGACCAACAGGACCCATTGGGCCCTAAAAAAAAGAAGAAAAAAAGACATGATCATACACAAACAGCGAGCAATAATACGTTTCTGTGTTATGATTATTACAATGAACAATGACCACACCTGGTCTCCTTTATGACCTGTGTGACCCTTGATTCCACGAGGGCCCATGAGTCCTTGGTCACCTTTATCTCCCTGAGGAAGTAGTCAAGATTATGAATTACAATAACAATAACAATGTATAATTGTATAGCACTTCACCAAATAATTGCTTTTTATCAGTACTCATGCATGTACTGTAATTATGCTAAATGAGGAAAACGGTGTGATTAACCACCCATTTTTTTTCTAAATTTATTGAATGAGTTGGATGTAATATTATACAAACATGTTGTGTCCCAAAGTTGCACACTATATCTGTTCTAAATAGTATGCACAATTAGTATTAGTGCATCACATAGAGTATCATTTTATATTGAAAATAGTATGCAAATAGTGCATGATGACTGCATGACTGAATGACTGCATGCTTTTTAACAAATATTGCCCATATTGTCCAACAGCGACTATATAGCAGGATTTCTGTTGGTTTTACGAAAGAAAATGTAGAAAACTTTTTAAGACCAAGGAAATAAAATAAAAGGAATAATTGTATTAGCAATGCTTCAATTTTTTAAAAATCAATTTCCAATAGATTTCCATTACTTTTAAATTTATAAAAAAAACAAAACTTATTGCTCAGTATTTCCTCAAGATACATTTACTTGAGAAGCAAAATGACAAAATAAAAAGTCTTCTTTTGCCAATGGGCTAAAAAAAAAAAAAAAATCAACAACTAAAAGTGAAAAGTTTTCATTCACCCATTTTTTAAGCATGAACTCACTTTGTTCAATTTCTCAGATAACAAGACTTCATATATTCAGTTTGCATCTCAAGTAAATGTATCTTAACTTAAAGATGTTTAGATATTTGTACTAGAAAGCAAAACAAAAGTACTGTGGAAGATATACATTTCTTTGGAAGCATGCAACATTTTTTATGTCCTTCGTTTTTTATGTCCTTTTCAGTCCTTCGTTTGTGGAGGACGAATTAAGACTTCTAAAGATCTTTTTAAGACCTGCAGAAACAATAAGTTCAATTCAGTATTGATACTAAATTCATTATTTAGCTAAATTAAAGAACGTATGTGGTATCAATACACAATTTAGTTTTTTTTACTTGCACAATGTACTGTCTTTTCCATCTCAAGCAGAGTACATATGTTTGATGCATAGCTTTAGTATGCAAATTGGGACACAACCATTAAGATCCATAATCAGACCAACAGGTTCTTCCATGTCCAACCCACCTGGATTCCCTGCGGGCCCGTTGGGCCAACTGGACCCTGCTTTCCTGGTTCACCCTGAGGAAGGAAGTTTGTTGCTTACTTGAATACAATTTTTAAGAAATTACTATGAATTTGTAGTCTAATCTATTGTAACCAATGGAAAAAAAATATTCTACAAAAAAAAAAAAAAAAAAAAAAATTAAAAAAAAAAAAAAAATGCAAACAATAACATTTTTTTTATTACTTTTGCTTATTTTGCTTTCCTAACTATGCACCATTATTTAGTAAAATAAAATAAAATAAAAATTACATTAAATTAAATTAAAAATAATAAGAAGAAAAAAAAATGTTTTATATGTTTGAATTATGCTTTTATTACAGAGGTTCCTTTGGCTCCTGGAGTTCCATCTTCTCCTGGTGGTCCAGGTGCTCCCTATATATAAAATGAACATACAACAAAATATAACAGTATCTTAAATATATATACAGAAAGAGACACACAAAAAACTGATATCATAATACTCACATCTTTACCAGGAAGCCCAACTGGACCAGTCAGTCCTACAGTGCCAATTTCACCCTGTAAAAGAGAGATCCATCGCATGTCATGCATCACTGTTTTCAAATTTAAATGAGATTCAATATATACTATTTTTCATGTAAATTAAGTTTTACCTTTTGGCCTGCAGGCCCCACGAGTCCCTGTTTTCCTGGTAAACCCTGAATTTGAGATGCAGCATTGTTTAGCCAAGGTGAGTTGCAGATTACAAATGAGTGAAAATCTCTTTACTTGTTTACTGCATAGTAGGCAAACCCTCATTTACTGTATTTGCATTCAGAGTAACAGCAGCAGCTTTAAGAATCATTTGAGGAAAAGTACACCAGAATAGCACATAATAAAACATATGCACAAGCTGATTAACTCACTGGAATTCCCACAATTCCTCTGACACCAATGGCTCCGGACAGACCTGTCTCTCCCTGTCGAGCAGACAGCAAAATCACAAATGCGTCTTCATTTTTTATCATTCAACAAGCCAGATTTAGGAATCATCATTTTGTGTCAAAGCAATATGCATTTTAATAGTCAAATTGGTATAATTCAGCATAATAAAAACTGGAAATACATTGCAGTACACCAGGTACAAACATATATTCTGATTTTTATGCATTATAAAAATCATGATCATAACTCACCTTCTCTCCTGGAGATCCTGGTGCTCCATCAGATCCATGCTTTCCTGGCTCACCCTACAGATTAACAATCTTTATCATCATTATTAAATTTCTTCCAGTAACATTTCATAATTATTACAGTGATGTTGAATATAAAGGTAATTTTGAGCATAAATCTGATCAGTCAGTCACTCACAGTGTCACCCTTGGCTCCAGGAGCTCCTTTCTCTCCCGGGGCTCCAATCGCACCCTAAAACAACACATTAGAATTCTTCAGAAAGAATCAGTGTACTTTAAATGATTTTTACTGATTTTTTTATTGCATAGTGTTTTTGATTAGGGTAGATCATATGGACAACAATAACTTACATCATCTCCTTTAGGCCCAGGATGTCCCTGTCGCCCTCTGATGCCTTCAACACCCTGTTAAGACACACAAATATTATTATTTTTGAATATTATATTAAACTGTATAAATCACAAAACTAAATATAGAATTTATTATCATTAATACATTTTGTATTTATTATTCCATATTTATAAATATAGAATATATTATCTGTACAACTGTTAGCTACAGGGCTTTTGTGCAAAACTACGTCGTGCATAACATACTGCATTTTTGCATCCCCGCACATGGATAGACTAATCGAGCCCATTGCATTATGGGTGTTGAAGTTTTGCTACCTTTTTTTCATCTCAGCCCCTCTGAGACTCTGTTTTGTCTGTTTTTTTCAGCACAATTTTTTTTATTTGTGTTTTTACTGCATAGACAGCCAACTTTTATTAAAACCCCATTTTACCAGCAGTGATTTACCCCCATCAACTTTAATTTTATGCTTATTAATGCTAAAAAAATGATTTATTAATTTGTTTTATTATTGTATTAATAACAACAACAACTAGATTGAAAAGTTTGTAGACAAACTTTAAGTTGGCTTGAAAAAGCCTAGCTAGAAAGTTTGAAAAAGTTTTAAAAGCTTGCAGTCTGAAAATGTTCAGTTTGAAGTAGTTTGAAAGTTAAAATAGTTTTAAAGATTAAAGTTTGAATGTTTTCAAGGCAATACAGTCTATCAGAAAAACAGACAGGTATAAAACATATTGCTAGGGTACCTGGGGTGGTTGCTAGGCTGTTTCTAGCATGACTAGCAGGTAGCTAACATGTTTTTTAGCATGATTAGCATGTTACTAGCATGTTGCTAGCATGATTCTAGCAGGATTAGCATGTTACTAGCATGGTCTTAGCATTTTGTTAGCATGATTAGCAAGTTACTAGCATGTTTCTAACATGATTAGTAAGTTACTAGCATGTTGTTAGCATGTTTCTATGCTAATCCAGCTAAAACAAGTTGATTCAGTGAAAAAACAGCTAAAAAACAGCTAACACCAGCCACTTTAAAACCAGCTTGGGAGACCAGCCAAAGCAGCCAATCAGTTTAGGCTGGTTTTAGCTGTTTTTTTTTTTTCTTCAGTAGGAAGTTGTTAAGCTTTGCTATAGCAATAGACAGCTTAAATACACCATAAGTCTTGTTGTATAAAAGTTTGATGAAAGTCTATGGGATTTTAGGTGGTTTTGATAGTCTGGTTTACAAAAACTGTAAGCCGGATGAGCTAGAAAAGATATAGCAACCCGAGTCAGACCAGTCTGAAGGTCTAAAACAAGTTGATTCAGTGAAAAAACAGCTAAAAAACAGGTAACACCAGCCTGGTCTGCTAAAAAAATGGCCAAAACCACTTTAAAACCAGCTTGGGAGACCAGCCAAAGCAGTCAATCAGCTTAGGCTGGTTTTAGCAGTTTTTTCAGTAGGGAGTTGTTAAGCTTTGCTATAGCAATAGACACCATACGTCTTATTGTATAAAAGTTTTCACCCCCCCAATGAAAGTCTATGGGATTTTAGGTGGTTTTGATAGTCTGATTTATGAAAACCGTAAGCCGGATCAGTTAGAAAAGATATAGCAAACCGAGTCAGACCAGTCTGAAGGTCTGACACGAGTTTGGTGGTTGTAGCTTTAAAAGACTAGGAGGAGATACATTTTAAAATTTGGTCTCAGAAGAAGAAGAAGAAGAAGAAGAAGAAGAAGAAGAAGAAGTAGTAATAGGATTTCAGTAAGTTGGCTTTTTCAAGCCAACTTAACAATAATAATAATTATTATTAAAATTATTTATATTGGATTACCTACCTAAAATAACTTGAACTCATCTTAAAATATTGTTTAATAACCTACAAGCTCTCTTGAACTACATTTCCACTAGGCTGGTTTGCTGTACATTCTTTTCCCATAAATATCAGATGAAGTAAGACTTAAATCTTCTGTACTTTGATACCAGACTTTAGTTCAGAATATTTTGATCATATATTTGATATATATATATTTTTTTAAATCAATGAAATACAGCTCACGTACTGGTGATCCTGGTGGTCCAGTGGGTCCTGGGATCCCGTTGAATCCAGGAGGACCCTGCAGACATAAAACACACAGGCTAGCTCTTATAATATTATACCCACCCTTGCTTTTTGTTCTGCATATATTATGCTCACACAGCCATTTAAATCTGTGCAATCACTGCAGAAGTTATTTGATTGGATGTATTGAGCTTTAAACAAATGTAGTTATAATTTCATGCATTGATTAGCCTGGAGGATATTGCTCTGTAAGCATTCCTCTGGTTTCTCACTCTTTCCTCGTCTGCTTACCCGATGTCTAAAGTCTTACCCGATCTCCTTTATCACCATGAGTTCCAGGGAATCCAATTGGTCCTCGCTGACCCTGTATGGAAATTTGTTATGATATATTTCTTGTTCTTTTCATTACTTGTTTTGTTTATAATGCTTTGTCAATATTGTATGTAAAGACAATCATGCCAATAGAACACTTTAAATTGAAATTTATATTCTTGGTCACAGCTGATACTGAAAACACACCACACTCCATAATGTATGAACACATAAACAAGTTTTCATACATCATCTCCTGGACGTCCAGGAGGACCTGGCTCACCAGCGGCCCCTCGCTCTCCCTGTTAATAAAGAAGAACATGACTATGATTAAAATCTCAGGCGAACTTGTGTATTGCTGCTTCTTGGTTTTCATCATTATTAAGATTAGAGCAGTCTTACCTTTTCACCTTGGGTACCTGGCACACCGTCCACACCTGGAAGACCTCGATGTCCCTGGCACAGAGATTCAATTTAGTAATACACTCATTCATTAGAGAAGTAGTTGGTGTTTAACCAAAGAAACATTCTTCAGCTAGCAAAATGTATAGCTACACCAGAAAGCACATTTAGTCTTTCTGCAACAAGAAGTAAATGGAATCTATAAAGAAACGTTATTGCTCATTTTAAATTTGTTATTTTTTTTTTTATTTAAAGCAATACTTCATTGTCTTACATTTTTATATTTTTACATTTTTGGAATTTAAAAAAATACATTTTAACTCTTGTTTTATGAGCCAAAGTTAGGGTTGGGGACTCACCTTCATCCCCGGCAGACCAGGCATTCCCTGTGGTCCAGCTGGACATGTTGTCTGGCACTGCTAACAAAATGAGACACACAAATACATTAGGTCTATTCATCATCAACTGTAGGACCAGACAGGAAGTGAAGAATAACCAGCCTGGTCTCATGTTTATACGTAGGTATTAATACGTAACATTTACAAGCACAAAACGTACACTTTTGTACGTTTTTATTAATGCTAAAACGTACAATTTAGATGTATTTCAACGTTTAAAACGTACAAATCGCTACGTATTTTTAGCTAAAAAACGTAAAAATATTTACGTATCTTTTATATCAAGATATTCGTATCAATGCATTTTTTTCATTTTATCAATAAGCGATTTAGATTTTTAGACCCCTTAACCTACCCCCAAACCTAAACCTACCCATTTTATAGCGAATATGCATTTTTATCATTTTATCAATAAGCGATTTAGATTTTTAGACCCCTTAACCTACCCCCAAACCTAAACCTACCCATTTTATAGCGAATATGCATTTTTATCATTTTATCAATAAGCGATTTAGATTTTTAGACCCCTTAACCTACCCCCAAACCTAAACCTACCCATTTTATAGCGAATATGCATTTTTATCATTTTATCAATAAGCGATTTAGATTTTTAGACCCCTTAACCTACCCCCAAACCTTAACCTACCCATTTTATAGCGAATATAAAAGGATATAAAACGCAAATGACCAAAATATGCAGGAAAATAACCATTTTAGTACAAAAAAAAATAAAAAATTTAGTCTCTAATTCCACTCCTACCTATAAACCTAAACATTTCTGTACAGTATAAGAAAAACATGACAGACAGATAAATGCAATTACAATCATTTATTTATTGCAAAAATGTCAAAAGCAGTACCAAAAGTAATCCAAATGACGATGCGTTGCAGCCTCGGTCCTCTCTGGCGGAATACAGTAGGTTTGTGTGATCCAGAGCAGAATTTATGTTGTTAATCGCTGAAAATATTATCCAGATCATTTTCCCGATCCACTCCATGAACTCCTGAAGGCGCGCGCGCGCATCATTCAAATACACCTCACCAGAAACACGGCATGTCGCAATCTGTGACGAATGCTGGCGAGAGCCAATGAGCGTTCGATTATCCTGCCGTAAAACCTGTCGTTTGAAGCGGCAACATTTGAATTTGTAAAGAGCGCGTCAGTCAGCGCGGGCTTTGCTGCTCCTCACAGTGGACTTGCTGCTAGGGATGGAGAAGAAGATCGCCGAAAAAAGCCTTGGATTTGGGTCTGTTCCTCGCAGTCGTATGGATTCGGAAGAGATTTGGGTCTGTTCTTCGCAGTCCTATGGATTCGGAAGATTTGGATTACAGCGCACTAATACAATTGTTTCATTTCGTAATTATGTTGTGTTTTTTGCGTATTTTATAGTTCTATTGTCAGTCACAGCATGTCGGAGAAAACGCCTTTTGTGGCCCATGGCAAACAAAGTAAACATTACATGACAAGTAAATGTTAAACTATTGCAGAAATGTTATTTATTTTAAGGTTTAAACTGAAGTGTTTAACATTATGTAGGCATATTCTTGGAAACGAGCTGGCAGCAGAAATCACAAGGAATTATCATGAGATCACGTTGGAATAACACAACCAGCCTGTAGCTCACCAGAGACATACAAACCAAGTCCTGAAGATTTAAGATGAGGGAGCACAACAGACACGGCAGCCAACTGTCAACTCTTTTCATGAGCAAATGACAAATTATTATGGCTGGGTATTGAGATATATTTCACAGTTTGATTACATTTCTATGCACAAGCTTGCGATTCAATTCAGTTTTGACCTCAAATCAATTTGATTCAAGTTTACATTTTACGTAAAATACATACGAATTATCATGAGATCACATTGGAATAACACAACCAGCCTGTAGCTCACCAGGGACATACAAACCAAGTCCTGAAGATTTAAGATGAGGGAGCACAACAGACACGGCAGCCAACTGTCAACTCTTTTCATGAGCAAATGACAAATTATTATGGCTGGGTATTGAGATATATTTCACAGTTTGATTACATTTCTATGCACAAGCTTGCGATTCAATTCAGTTTTGACCTCAAATCAATTTGATTCAAGTTTGAATCATTTAGATATATTGTCAATCATGTACAGTACAAGTTATTTTTTTCAAGGGAAAAAAAAACCCTCTCAACTAATGCTATAATACAATAATTACATTAGTACATTACTATATTAAAGTGATTTGTAAAGAAACATTTAAATTGCACAAGGAAGTTTTTTTATATAAAAATATATATATATATTTATATATATTATAACTTTTGAAGGATTATTACTTTTCGACTCCGGTTTGTTGTTGAAATATAAATATTTAAACAGTGGATGTCATAACTTGTTTTGATTATGGATATATTTAAACAGATTAAATACTGAAGAACAGGTTAAGTAAAAATAGAACTAACTATTCTAACTATTGAGTTGAATAACATTTCGGGAAGTTATACGGTTTCTTTCAACATACCTTCTGATGTTTTTTCATGTTATTTTGGTGCTATAATTAGCAGTAAAGAGGAAGAGATGATCGGTTCACATGCCGCTTGAAGTGAGGCAGCTACAGTGATCTGTTATGCCACATTAAAGAGTGCCAAAACGCTATTTACTGTTTGAATTTTGTAATACAATTGATAGAATTTGAAAGCTGAGACTTTGTTTCATATCAAAACTGACAAAGCAAAAAGCTTATTGGGATTTAGTGGATGGGAGGAGCGCTACAAATAACGTTTCATTAAGTTTTGTTCGCATCCAATGAAAACAGCATAGATCGATTCTTGGGATTTAAGAATCGATATCGGTTCATCAAAATCGAGAATTCAATATTTTCTACCCAGCCCTACAAATTATAAAGCAGATATAGTGCACTTTGACATTTTTCAAGTTCTATATGTCGCATACTGAATCTCTTTGTGTTGTAAGATCTAGGCCTTTGCCAGAACTTAGGGGAAAATTATTTTTTCATAGTACTGAACATTTCTTGAATGATGATGTGCAGGTTCTGTGTGTCCATGTGAAACATTAATATTATTAAAATCTAACAAGCACTCACAGTCTCCCCACTTCCCTCAGGGTTCCCAGCGCCTTGTGGCCCCTACGGACAGCAGAATGACAGAAGTGTAGTTTAGATTCAGACACACGCCCCTTTTAAAAGCCTCAAACGTTACAGCGTTCAGAACAGATCTGTGTGAAAGCTCTGCATTAGTTCTAAACCCTCTGAAAGCCAACAGAAGTCACCTAACCTAGTTAAAGTAAGGGTTAACAGAAAGGACGAAAAGACTCAAAATGTCTTGGAATGTATAAAAACAAAAAGTGAATTTGAATATATAAGAGATAGTCAATTAGCAGAACTTCAAAAGCCAAAATTGGAGTTATGTATCTGTTTGGTAACTTACATGCTAATGTACTGCTTAAAGTTGATAAAATGAACATCTAGCAGACATATGGTTTTGAAATGTAGTCTGTCTAATCCAAAATGTGTACAAAGTCCTTCCTGCAATATCACTTTTGTGAGACAAAAACAGATTTTCATTTGATCTATTTTCAGTGTCACAAGCTGCCTAGTAAAAATTATTGATGGAAAGAAAAAATAAAAATTTGTCAAGATAGATGCTGAAATGTGTTCAAAATGTTATCTTAATATATCATGGGGTAAACAAATTGTAAATAACAAATCATTGTAAAAATAACTGCATAGTCTAGTGTTAAAAAATGTAATTTAGTTCAGTTAAAACAATTATTTTCTGCATTTTTACTGTTCATTTTATAAAAAACTACACTGCATTTCTACATTGTCCAAATGTCTACCTTTTTTTTTTCTTTTTTTTTTTTTACAAATCATACCCCATGTACAGTATATATACATGCATTATACTACACATATATAGGCACATATTTTGATGCAAATGAAAGCTAAATATGTAGACTAAACTGAATTAAGCCCATTACAGTAGTCGTTTCTTGTAAGTTAGTAAGAAATCATTTGAAATATGTAAAATGCTAAATATGTAAATGGCAGAAGCTGGTCTTACTGGTGATCCTGGAGGTCCTGGTGGGCCTGGGAGCCCAATTCCTCCTCTTGGTCCAGGAAGACCCTGGAAAATTGAATACCATAAAGAACACTTCAATTGAGCTAACAAAATCATTCAACATAGCTATGACAACAAGAGTTACATTAAGTATGAAAAACTAAATATAATGCCAAATACACAGCAAAGGTGGAACAGAAGCACTTCTAAAGGCATTTAGGTGTCTTTACACAGACTGTTTAATGCTGCTCAGAGGTGGCATACATGCATTTACACAGCAGTGATAACCATACACTTTGATACTGAGGGCTGAAGTGGGTCAGAACAGGCATCATTTAGTCTGGCTTTTATGGAGCATTACAGTGGGGAAAATATTTATTTGATCCCCTGCTGATTTTGTAAGTTTGCCCACTTACAAAAAAATGAAGGGTCTGTAATTTTTATGGTAGGTTTATTTTAATGGATAGAGACAGAATACCAACCAAAAGAATCCAGAAAATACACATTATATAAAGGTTAGAAAATGATTTGCATTTCAGTGAGTGAAATAAGTATTTGATCCCCAAGCAAAACATGACTTAGTACTTGGAGCAGAAACCCTTGTTGGCAAGCACAGAGGTAAGACATTTTTTTTGTAGTTGGTCACCAGGTTTGCACACATCTTAGTAGGGATTTTGGTCCACTCCTCTTTACAGTTTCACTCTAAATCCTTAAGGTTTCTTGGCTGTTGTTTGGCAACTCGAAGTTTTAAATGTGAGAGCTCTCAGACCCTGCATAGGCAGCAAAGCAACTGTAATGGTAAAACAGTCCATGTGACATCAGTGGCTCAACTTCAGTTTTGCGAAGCTACGAGAATACTTTTTGAGCGCAAAGAAAACAAAAATAACATAATTTATGTCCCCCGAGTTACGTCTTCCGCCAATTTAGAGTATCACAACACATCCGCACACTTTCCCCTAAGCGTAAACAACGCTGATTACGCAAATTACATTAATTGAGCCACTGATGTCACATAGACTGTTTTACTGATGTCCTTACTACGTTTCTAAACCTGGGAACATTACAGTTGTGTTGCTGTCTATGCAGGGTCTGAGAGCTCTCACATTTCATCAAAAATATCTTAATTTGTGTTCCGAAGATGAACGAAGGTCTTACAGGGTTTGGAACAACATGAGGGTGAGTAATTAATGACAGAATTTTCATTTTGGGGTGAACTAACCCTTTAATGTGCTTCTTCTTGAGCCACTCCTTTGTTGCCCTGACGGTATGTTTTGGGTCATTGTAATCCTTGAAGACTTATCCATGACCCATCTTCAGTGTTCTGGCTGAAGGAAGGAGGTTCTCATCCAAGATTTTACAGTACACGGCCCCATCCATTTGCCCCTTAATGCGGTGAAGTCTTCCTGTACCCTTAGCAGAAAAACAGCCCAAAAGCATAATGTTTCCACCTCCGTGCTTGACTGTAGGGATGGTGTTCTTGGGGTCATAGTCAGCATTTCTCTCCCTCCAAGCGAGTCGAGTTAATGCCAAAGAGCTCAATTTTAGTGTCACCACAGCACTTTCTTGTTCACATTGGCAAACTTTAAACGGGCCTGTGCATGTGCCTTCTTGAGCAGGGTCACCTACACATACAATTCCGGTGAGAGAGAACGAAGTCAATAGTTGTGGAACTCCATTAAGTAAGGCTGTCAAGGCTAATTAATTAACTTAAACATCGGATGAAGTGATTATTTTCTCTTTAATACAGATGATGCCAATGTATTTTTCAATGAGTCGCTATATTAGCGTTTTCCCAACAAAACCCACCCAATTGCTACTCAAAACTAGCCCAAAACTAGCCCACACTAACCACGTTTCGAGGGGGTCCCCCAGTAAAAATCGCATTCCGGGGGCTAAAATACACGTTATTGGGGTCACTTCAACCCGCGGACATGAAAAACAACTCGCGGCAACAGTGATAAAGTAGCCCAATTCCACGGGAAAACCGCAGACTTGGCAACGCCTACAACGGACACGAGCGTTGTCGCGGCGCGACCACAACAGCTTGACGTTGTCTCATTTGGCACAGTCTCCCCGCTACACTAATAGTAGTAAGGCTTTCCTCTGTGTATAAATATCCTTACAAGTACAATTATAGCTGTATTATTTGTGTCCCCTTCAAAAATTGCTCTTGAGAAATTTTATGTTTATTGTCCCCCCCAACTAGGGTTGCCAACTGTCCCGTATTAGCCGGGATGTCCTGTATTTTGGGCCTAACTGATTTGTCCCGTACGTGACTTCCCTTGTCCCGTTTTTTGACTGCTACGCTGATCTAACCACTGACTGATACAACAGCAGCACTGAGCGGGTAGCACAAATCATCAGAACACCGGCTCGTCGCTCCCGCCTCACAGCAAGCGGCGCTCGTGCTAACGCCAATTCCGTCTGTGTTTTCACTTCAGTAAATCAGTTTTGGTGAATACAAACTACGTGATTATTTTTCATGAGTCCAACATCCCACCGCGCAAGAGACGTGATCAGTAAGGGAAGTCGTCTTTCACTATTGTAATGTTGTTAAATAGAGAAAAACATTTTATATTTAAAGCTGCAGTCCGTAAGTTTTGCCTCTTTGTCGCCATCTCTGTTTGAAAACCTGCAATTAATAGCACAATTCTTAACCTTGGACCTTATTCTTGAAACACAAAATGACCAATAAAAAGTTGTCAAGCACCAAAAGCCCCGCCCGTAAGGTGATTGTCCCGAATTTTCATTTTCTGAAGTTGGCAACCCTACTCCCAACTGTTAGACGAAATTTACGCCCCTGGTCCCAACTGCCTTAAGATCATTAACAAGCTCCTCCCGTGTAGTTCGGGGCTGATCCCTCACCTTTCTCACGATCATCCTAACCCCATGAGGCGAGATCTTGCACGGAGCTCCAGACCGAGGCCGATTGATGGTTATTTTG